CGGAGCTGTTTTAGCGACTCTGTGAAATATGTTGGTACTGCAGCATTCTGCTAAGGTAGTGATCCTGCAGTGAGTCACTCTTTACACATTCACAGGCAATGGTTAAGATTCAGCGCAGACTGCCACAGTCTGAGCATTTGCCTCACCTTCCATCTGCAACCAGACAGGAGACTAAGCCTGTATCTAAGATCGAGTGCTTCCTTTGTGTACTAGTCACTATAAATGTGTGTAGTATGATCTCCAGAATATAAAACAGTACATAATATACTGTTAATACCAGTGAGGAACCCTCAGGGCCTTCTAGGGCTTCAGAGACAGCCTAATCATTTCTGTGAAATAAAAAACAAAATACATTTCTGTCATTTTTTGTTCGTTTTTATTTAGTAGAATCATTGTGCTTCTTGTCTTACAACTCTGGAAGCATTGTAGGTCAAATTCTTGAAATGACCAACAGAAAATTATCCAGTTAAAAAATTAGGTAAAAACAGTCAAGCTTTCCCATTGGTTAGGCATTCAGACGCAAGTTTGAAAGCCTAACTTGTCAGATAAATCACCAGAATAATTAAGATGTGACAGTGGAGTCTACTAATCACATTCTGATTTCCAATGATGGTGAGAAAAAATAGTGATAGTGCTGGATATTATTAAGTGCGGACACTAACAGTAGTTTTTGACATTTTGACATTTATGGCCTAAACTGAAGGCCTCGCTGTAATAGTCACGGTTTGCCACTGGTTACTACCTGGATGATGTAATAGCACTGCCGAAAACTGAAGTGTGGAACATTTTGCACTCAGAGGCCACACTTAGGTCATGTTCTATCGGCAAGTGTGATTCAGTGTTGTATTGTATTTGTCATTTCCGTTTAGTGCCCAACATTATATGGGTACACAAAAGCCAATACATTTTTGGCCAAAATTAAGAGTTTGTAGAAACAGGTTTATCGTATATACATAATATTTACAATTAATAAGCATACTCCAATACCTCCCCCAAAAAGTCACGTGGTACATTTTGAGTCCACTACATTTTTTGTTTCATTACATCAGTCAAACCAAGGAATAACGTAAATCGTTTTTCACAGTATAGTCAGCCAGATAAAATTTTTATCATCCAGTTCCACTGACCCACCTCCAGGAATGCTCTCCAGCTCGACTCTGAGCTTTCTAATACATTTTTTCATTGTCATCATCATTGTTCATCAGCAGTGTTAGCAAGGCATATTTCAGTAATCCAGCCTTTGTGGCAGGCTATGAAAAAATGCTTAGAGCTTCAGAAAGTAGTAGACACTTGGTATCACGTATGGTTATGGTAACGTTGTCATTACAGTTGGTAAATCTGCTATTAATTCTGTGTCTAACCAGACAGCCTTTGGATTTCGCACGGGAGGGTGAAAAGCAGTTTTTATTAATGGTGAATATTTGTGAATGTGTGAAAATTGAACTATTCTGGTGGTTTGTTTAAAAAAAACCCAGAAGACAAACAGGTACTCAGGCTGCAGGTTCTGCATTTTTAGAGGTGAAACTGTGAAATGTGGCCAGGGACTTTAGGCAGTGTTGAGATATTATTTTAAGGCAACACATGCAAAAGGGACAGATCAGTCACTGGATTTCTACGCGACACGTTTTTCACATTAGTTAATTTGCAGCGTGCAGCTAATGATTTCCAAATGTTATAATGATTACTGGGAGTCTTATAGCCAGCTTTAGTTAACTAACTGCAACAGTCTCCATTTACTGCAAAGTGTTAAAGCTTCAATATACTTTCAGCAAAACAAAGCTTGCGAGAAGACAAAATCACCTTTACGAAATTACAAGCTCATGCACTTTCTGCAGTTCTGTTTTTGGCTGATTACGCCTCTTGTGCACCAACCAATCGCAGGCCTTGTTCGTGAAATTCCCCCTGGTTGTCATGAGTGTGACACGGCAAGCAAAGCCTCTACACAGTATGTGTGGTTAGATCGTTTTCTATGCAATAGTACATTGTTCATCAAAGCTAGGTGAACATCGTCTTCATTGTCTATACCGAGGCCTTTAGTGTTCAGTTTGTGGTGATACAATTATACAAACATCCAGGCTCTGGAAAGTACATACTGTATAGCCCCCGGTTCACTTGTTGACCGACTCAAAGCTTGACATGGACTCGTCCTTAAATGACTCAACATTGACTCGAGATTTATGGCTAGAGACATTTCAGTCTGAGAAAAAAACACATAATCAACACTGATTATATTATGACCACCTGCCTACATGTGGTACATAAATATAACCTTTTGTCTCTAACTGTATGTTACTTCGCATTTCAGTTTTGCTGTGGTCAAGTTGAGTCATGACTGCAGTGTATTTCTATACAGCTTACAGCGGCATCAAGTTTGATGCAGCTTCAAATAATGAGCCTTTCTGTATAGGAAACCGTTCAGTCTGATGGACAGAACGAAGCGCAACAGGCGGTAAATGTAGTGTTTAAAGGAAAGGGGAAACTTGAAACATTTGGCTAGCATGTGGATAACATTTGAATAGTGAGTATAGTTAGCGCAAAGCTAATTTAACTGAAGTTGTCAGCTATTCTAGCTGGAGTTATGGTAAGTTACAGATCACATTCCCTTAAAACTTACTAAAACCTTAGCTGGATTAACTATTGTGCTTGCTAGCTAGCATACATGCTGCATAATCTACAGACCAGCCAACCTTTTCAAGTTTAGATTTAAAAACCACAAGCAGCACTTCAGTTCTGTCGTTTTTCTTTAATGAAAAGCTAATTATCTGAAGTCGTGTTGAACCTGACAGGTTTCAGGGGGAGTTTATATTTGTATGTTATGTCTGCAGCTAATAATGAGACTAAACTAAAATTCTCTGCTATAGACTTGCATGGGTAGACCAGTATGTAGCGTAAGAATATAGTACATAGCGTCTGAATTGAGATGTAGTTACTGAGTGTGAATGAGTCTGTCTGGTGTAGCTCGGTCGGCCGTGGAACGCTCTCGTTTTCAACAATACGGAAAGGTGCTGGCACATTGCTGTTGAAACCGAGGCACTGGCGGTGAATATGAGATTGACTTTGGCCAGAACAGAGCATTCCTATTCTTCCTCACGTAAGCCAGCGCTACTCTCCATGTGTTGATGATGGGCAGCGTGCCAGAGGTTGCCATGACTCCCAACACCACCCCTTTTCTCGTCCCCGCTTTCTCCCCCTGGAAGGTGCCGAATTTTTCGGGGTAGGCAGGGCTCAGGGTTTTGATTTAGACAAAAGATGTCTTCACACTGTCAGCTGAATGCTTCATTGGAATGCTTTGCTTTTTTTGGTCTCGGAACGGAGAAACCATGTGACCTTATGGCTAAGGTTTTGTTTTGGTGCCAGGACAGAAAGAGCGCAAGAGAGAGAGGGGGGGGATAAACTTGGAAAGCAGTGCCAATTCTTTTGCTTTTTCTTTTTTTTCTCACTTCCCTGTCTTTCGATTGCTGAGAAAATGGCGGATGGCGCAGAGCAGACTTTTACCTGAATTCGCCAAGATTTTTGGATCCAGTCTGGTTTTGGCACGACACCCGTCTTTTTTTTTGTCATTTCTACTCAGTCTCACGCCTTTTCTTCGGATGGGACGCAAGCGCGTTAGAGGAGATTTTTCTTGTATTTTTATTCACACAAAATGAGCACGTTAAACTTAATCGGGTTTGCTAAGCTGGTACCCACTTTGGTACTGTTTATTAAAAAAAAATGTCCTTAAAAAAAAACTGGCTCCATTCGCCTGGAAGTCATGTGAATATGTGCTGGTGGGAGCGAGTGAATGGGAGCTGTTTTGTGGCACAGCCGTTTGGCAGGCTTGCTGCCCTGGCAGCTTCTTTGCTCTTTTAAAAATCACTGTGGTCTCATCTAAGCTTACCCCGTCCTTTCGCCACAGACACCAGGCAGCAGAGCATGGTAAGCACTGGCAAGTGCCTCTTAGAGCAGCCTGCTATTGCTGAACTTTGTGGTACATTTTTCCGTGAAAAATGCAGTGAAATCGTTCAATCTTGTACGTATTTAATATCTGTTTGCATGCCGCAGTGCTTCATGTAAATGAATGTAAATTCAGTTTCACAGTGCAAGGCTGTTGTTAGATTCTTGTTTGTCAGTAGACACAAAAATATAAATACTTCTGAACAAAGAGCAGAATATTTTTCAGACATCTGCAAATTCAAATTAATGTCACATAATGCATTAGTGTTAATTATTCTGTAATAGCTATGTCATTCCTATGAAATAGGCTGAAAAAGTGCAGCAGTAGGGTGTGTCTTGTGTTTGTTGTAAACACAGTTTAGGAGATAAATATACACAATTTATGTATATATTTATCTCCTATTCTTTATGTGTGTGTACATTTTATATGTGTGTGTATATATATATATATATATATATATATATATATATATATATATATATATATATATAAAATGTATAAAAAATTATATTTAGGCAATAAACTAATTGCATAATCTAGTAATATTTGAGGGAAATATTACGTATTGTTGAATTTCAGACCGCTCTTTCTTTAATTTAATTTTTAGCAGATGTGGCCATTTAGTACAAGTGACTTATTTTTCAGCATCAGGAAAAAGCAAATCACATTTATTTAACAGACAGTTACACAGAAGCAACAATTAAATATGATATTTTGTTATTAATTTATTTCAGTATTTTAGTGTGTCTACTCTTTCCCTTTATTATAGCTTATTACAGCGTTCACTTTCAGTTTTTCAAAGTTCAGTCTTAGAATTTGGTTGCATTTTCTGCTTCTCACGATCCAAGTGCAGAATATTTATCACTTTTCACTCAAGTTTGGGAATTTATTACCTTTTCCAGCCATCTGCAAATGCAAATGAGTAATTTTGTTAGAATTGTAAGTGTTATAACTATGTAATTACTATGGAATAGGCTGCAAAGGTGCCACCTTAGTGTGTGTTATGTGTTTGTTGTGAACATAGTTTAACTAGGTAACTAATATCTATATTTTTTTATGTTTTCAGTGGGTGGAGCAGCATCTGTTAATGCAATCCAGGAGTGCTGACATCAAGCCAGGTAAGCTTTCCTTGCTAATCTCTCATACTGGGTCAGTTTCATCTCACATCGAGTCTCTGTGTTCCTCCAGAAAAACTCAGCAAAACAATTTATAAAGTGATTCAGGCACTAAACATGTTTGTGAATGTTCACGTTCCTGTTTGTCTTCAAACTGCTGATGAGTGGCTTTCAGTGTGAGATGCCTTCCAACTCGAAATCAAGACGATGTGTGCATAAGATGGAAACCCAGAGTAAAGTCAATGTACTATGCACTTTTTTTGTTTACAGGATAGCAAAGTGCACAACTGAGGCCATATAAGTAAACATATTGCACTGTAAAAACTGACATGTAAAATCTCAGTGATTAACTGGCAGCAGTTTTGTTGGTATAGAGCTGTTTATTTACAGTACTGGCAGAGCCATTCACAATTACACCACTGTAGTCCAAATATACAGGTTATTTCTTTATTTACACAAGTTAACAGTACTGTTTTTACAGGAAGATATTGTTTATGTATAGCACTGTTGCAGTTCCCATTTTCACAATAATACTATAATGTTTGAAGGAAATATTACTTATTGTTGAATTTCAGCTTTTTATACAGTACTGTGTGAAGGTCAGAGAGCCTTTATTGTGTTTAATTTCCAGTCAAAACAGCCATTAAGTACAAGAAATTCATTTTTCATCAGAAAACATATTTAGCATGAAATAATTAAGCAGCATCTAAACTGTAGTCTGTATATATATATATTTTTTAATACTTTGTCGTTAGTACAGCTTCCATTATTTTTGTGAGACTTGCTTTCAGTTTTTCAAAGAAATCTATTTTTCCACACAATGGTTACATTTTCTGCTTACTCACAGTCCATAAAACCTTACTCTACATCTCAGACGTCCAGTTTTGTTTTAGTGCAAATAAACTCTTTTTTCTCAGTAAGAGCTTTCTGACAGCTACACACCCTTTAAGACTCACAGTGCTGAGTTGTCTTCTCACAGTGGAAGGATGGACTGTGGATGTTTTCAGATCTGAATCAAGAGTGGAGCTTGATTTTCTCCTCCCTCTCAAAGATGAAAGCTTTAAATGCTGTTTATCTGATGGGGACAGTTTTGGTGTCTACCAGGTCTTCCAGGTGGTTGTTAGGAGTCCCATTTTCTCTGCATCTTTTTTTAATCATTTTTTGAAACCCAGTTTTAGGAATTCCTGTTTTTTCACTTATTTTCCTTTGATTTTCCTCTTCCTTGTGCAAGTGGATTACCTTACGTCTAATCTTCTCAGGAGTATCTCCTTGTAGGCATTTTAGGCACACATGAGAAAGAAATGTACGAGGCGGCTAAGGTGAGTTTGGGCAGTTGCTTGTGTGAATGTTAAGTATCTTTGAGGGGGATCATAATGTCAGTGAGATATTTGGGAGCAGCTTTTGTTGGCAGCTGTAACTGGTTGGTTTTAAGATTCAAAGGGTGGTTAAAGTGCACAAAAGTAAAGAGTGAACAAATTAAATACTGATAGATTTAATATTACACTTGGTGTTGGAGGCATCTGTGTAATTTTCTGTTAAATATGTTTTCTGCTTTCTTTCTGACACTGATAAATGAGCATGTACTTTATAGCTGTTTTGACTAGAATTTAAATAAACAGAAGGATCTGTGATTTTACACAGTACTTTAGCTATTCAAACACTGTTAATCACCCAGCATTAAACTGTTTAGCAAGCACACATCATACATAAAACAGCAGTTATGTGCATTCATGCCAGTCTTTAAGATAACAAAACTGACAGTAACCAAATATCTGATTGTTTACAGCACTACAGTTTGACCAGTTAACTAAAACAAGAAATATTTATATGGTTGGAAAGACAGAACATATAGAATGCATTCAGACTTGTATGTAGGTTAAGAAAAACTCACCTGAAGGGAACTGTAGATGAGGAAAAAGGCTTGTTAACAGCAACTAACAAAAGCAGAGGGGATACTGAAGCTCTGCCACAAGTGCTACAGGATTTAGAGACTGCTGCTCAGAATGGAGCATATTTATGATCACTTTTTCAATATGCTGTAAAATGTGTCATTAAGCCTCTTTGACTTGAAGCTTGACCTGTATCTCCTAGAACCTAGAGTGCACCATTTTTTTACAGTAATCTCCTATAAATCCACAGCTATTTTTGTAGTTTTATATGCGAGTTCATTGTAGTTTAGTTTATCCTGCAAATGCTGTATTATTAAGTCCCACACTGACCTTGTACTTTTCTTAAAGTGCGATTTTCTACATTCTGAATGAAACACACTGCATAAGTAATCGGACCTCATTTGCTATTGTTGAGTTTCTGCATGTTCATAAACAGCATAACTTAACAGTGTAATGTGGTATGATGAGCTGAGGTTTGTTATTTTTATTATTATTGTTTTTAATTTACTTTTTGAACATTAACCACTTGTCATAAACCCGTAGATCCGATCTTGTGGCGAATATGGCAACCCAAGCTCGCTTCTGTGGGTCTCTGTCACTGTGGTACAATCAGCATTTTTATTTTTTTTTTAAAACCAGTGCCTGTTTTTCTATCAGTGCTTTGTTTTTTGCAGTAGTGTTGCTGTCGTTTTATTTTTTCAAGGCTGTCGTGAGCCCAGCTTTGTGAAACAGTACACTACATCTCTTCCTAATTGAAAAATCTCTTCTAAATCTTTGGGAAACGTCTTCGCTTGACGTTCGTCAGCGTTTCCAGGTTGACGCCCAGGCGTTTATCCCCAGAAGACAAGAAGAAAGCCTGCAAGGACGTGTGCATCCAGGTTGAGGTAGTAGGTTGTATGGTTTAGAATTACACCATGGGAGTTAACTGTACAACCTTCTAGCTTTCCTTGGAGTACACTAAAGTCATCCAGCAAGACCTCGTTCCACTAAACAAAATAAACACTCAAAAGTCCTGTTGAACTTAATCTCCCATCACTTGAAGACTTAATCCGCTAATTCCAAGACAAAAAACTCTGCAATTTAATCTTCTCATCTCCTTTGATATTTTTTTTTTTAATGATGTTGCAGTTACCACAAAGCGCCACAAATGACCATGCTGAATGTACACATAGGAATATACAGTATTGTGCTAAAATCAGAGACCACCCATCATTTGTCTCTTCAGGAGATATATATCTGAGAGGATTAGATATTAAAACAGCCCACTTGCATAAGGAATGGGAAAGTCCAATGAAAAATAAGTGAAAACAACAAAAAAAAGTGACAAAAAGTGTGAAAACTGGACTCGTTACAACAACGCCAGATCTGGTGACCACCAAAAGTGTCACCGTCAGATAAAACAGTACTTAAAGCTTGCATTCTTGAGAGATCAAGCTCCACTCTTGCTTCAGATCTGAAAAAATCCAACAAAGAAGCTGCTTGTGTTCTCAAAACAATGGACTGACCACCCCAGAGACCAGACCTCAGCATAGCTGAATGTGTTTGGGATTACTTGGATTGTGAGAAGCAAATAATTCAACCAACTTCTAAGACTAACCTTTGAAAAACTGAAAGCGAGTGCTGTGATAAGCTGGAAAAATATCCTGCAGATTTCTTTATTTTATAATGAGTTGTATGAAAATGTTCTGATAAATATGCATTTTCCTGATGGTGAAAGATGAATAACTTAGTTGTTTTGACTGGAAATTAAATAAGTGAAGGGTAGACAGTGCTGTATAGGGATAGAAAACGTGGTAGCACACAATTTTTTAGGTAATATGTTGAATAAAATGGGGTTAAATAGTTACCCCTAGTTTATTGCAGGCCAATAAGACCTTGCCTTTTTTCCAAAATCAGACATTCAGTCTGTAGCAGCCTATTACATTTGAATACATAAAGATCAGAATTGTTATGTTTCTCTGCTTTTTTACGATATTTTCATTTCCTGTAACTGCTGTTATGGTTTATGAGTATCAATGTCATGTCTCACTTTTAACTCTTGTGTGTGATGAGCCTCATGATGCGTTTTAATTTGTAGAAAGCTTTGTCTGTCCCTGAGGTTGGTTCAGACCAGATGTTTCCCTTTTTCACTTCACTTTTCCTCACACCTTTATTCCTCGCACTTTTTAGTTCTAAGTGTTTCCAAAGCACACATGACATATTGTTAAGATAATTGGTGAAAAGTCCTTGCAAAACCATTACAAAAGAATATGATGCTGTAACTTATTAACCTCTGGGTCAAATAGAACAGCTGCACTCTTAAAAATGAAGGTTCCTAAATGATTCTTGGACACACAGTCTCTACACTCTTAATAATACAGGTGCCAAAAGAACACCTAAACTATAGAAGACCATTTTCGAGTGTGAAAAACGTCTTTTTTAAAGTTTAAAGAACACCTCCCCAATTCAGGGTTATGTGAAGAACCCTTAAATTATCGTAGCACCTTTAAAATATGTGACCTTCAAAGGCTCTTCATGCTCTCCAGTTTCTTTTCAAACATGATTCATTAGGGACCAATATTGGTTCTTCTATGGCAAGGCTCAAAGAACCCATTGTGGCACCTTGTTTTCAAAAAAAGTTTGAATTAGTTTAGAACCTTTACATTCTGTGAAGGTTCTTCAGATGTTAAAAAAGGTTCTTTACATCCAAGCAAACGTGTTTATTTAAAGAATCATCCATTGATGGGTTCTTTAGGGAAGCAAAAGTGGTTCCTCTATAGCATCACTCCAAAGGACAATTCGCAACCTTGTTCTTAGAGTGTGAAGAAATGCTAAACATAATGTAAAACATGCAAAACATGCTGTATACTTCATGTGTAAACTCAACCAAGTAGTTGAGTTGACTACAGTGGAAATGGTCTGAAGAATCCAGTGGCCTCAGTTGAATTGTTCTTGCTCAGCTTAGTTACACAACTAAAGAGCGTAATAGGACAAATGTTTTTAATGATGGACATTGTTTCGAAAATATCTGGATATAAGTGTATGAGGAGTAAATTTAACATAGAATTTTTATCTTTGTTTTGGCCTCCTGTCCACACGAAAATGGTGTTTTCGGTCACTAAAAACAGTTATTTT